ACTTATATACTAAAAGCTAATATATTTTCATAAAATTATTAATATACATTCATGTTTATTATACTTCAAATTTCTAAAATGCTATAGAAATTAGTATTTCATCTATTTACAGTTAGTTATTATAACAAGATTATTTTAATAACACAATTAAACAATTTATAATTAAAAACCCGGCGCGTAGCGCCGGAAAACCACTAGTTTATTTTAAAATTAAGATATAATTCAAGATTTAGAAATATGAATGGTGGAACATTTATTTGAAAACAAAAAAAAACAAAAATATTTATTGTTTGTGTGAAAAAACTCAAAATTGCCGCAAATTGCTGGATTGTTTTTGCATTACTTTTTCTCTTAAATATGTTTATTAAAACCATTAAAGTATTCTTTTTAATTATGGAACTAAAATATTTTTGTCTTACTATTATTAATCACGTTAGAAGAAAAAATGTAGGTAATAATCAACTTCTGATGGTGTATATATAGTTGAATTTATATAAGAAATTCAAAAGTGTATTGCATTAGAAAAAGAAACATTGATCTTTTCCAAGTCATAAGATTAATAAAAATTCTTAACCGTTCAAAACTTCACTTTTTTTAATATGACCGGTCAATGGAATTTCGAATATATACCAATATGTACGAAGTCTTCTTCACAGTTGCAAAACATCACTCAAATAATTCCCTGATCTTTGGGAAACAATTATGCCAAGAGATTAAACCAAAGTAGAGAGAGAGAGTGTGTGTGTGTGTGTTAGGAGGTCTTAGTGTCTGGCTTAGTTGTAGTGGTGGGAATGTTGTATAGAAGAAGACCAAGAACTAGAACTATACTCCCCATCATGAAATTTGAGCTCAAGCTTGTCCCTCCAGGTAGATACGGCAATGGTTTTGACATTATGTACACCGATAATGGCACTGCAACACCCAAAAACTATCTCATAAACTCATCGTGGGTTTAAGCTATTTGGTGACACTGAATAGACTTATACATTAAAGAATAGAAAAATGGACCTGAGAGCATCACAGTGAGAGAGGAAACGATTGCAGAAGATATTTTCACCAGATTGAGCACTGAGATGTTGAAAGCGAGATTGGTGGCTATATAGAGAAGTGGGAGTATAGGGGCACCTTCGCAGCCTGCAAAATGTTCAATATGGATTACAAACAAATCGTGCAGCGATTGAATAAAAACACTTCTTAGAGTGGAAAGAACGGTTCCCAACCAGAAATCTTAGCTCCAGTGTTGAAGAAGCAGCCGGCACCATCTTTAAGATACGGAAGGAGGCTGTCAAATGGAATGCCTTTCAAGTTTGAGAGAAAAGGCAACAACAAAAACACAAAAAGAGCCTGCACAAGTACAAATTCAGTTATCAAACCAAAAACAAAAAACCTGTTCTCAAGTAGGAGAGAGATTAACTGAATGATAGAGGGAAGGTGCAACAAGAAGGTTTCATATGTTTTGCACAACAAACGCTTCAGGTAATGGGTAAGCATGCCTTCATAGAACTCTACTATATGCATTGTTATGGCTGGAAAGAATACGTTAGCATAATGGTATTCGTAGCTGCCATGTTGTAGTATATACCTGAAATCCAGATCCAAAGGAGTTTACCACAAATATATCAAGTGACTTTCCCTGCATTGTTATGTTATGCTTAGATTTCAGTAAAGAGTCGAAAGACAAACATTCCATTTTGATACAGGGGATACTCTTTCAGAAGGATATATAAATATGTGCCAGATACCTCAAGACGCTTTGCGGCATCATTGAAAACAAATTCCTGTTAACAGACACAACACTTAAACAACATGGGAGCTGACAGGACTGCAAAATAGAAATGCAAAAAGAAATGTTCACAGCTCACAAGAGAGAGCGGCCTTTACCTTTGTGATAGATGCACCAGCTTGGCAAGCAGAAGATGCTACCATTACAGCAGGCCATAGCAAACCGATTCCGGATAGCGTTTGATCTGCACCAGATCCACTGCAGATGAGTAACAGTCAGCATTTCCATAATTGATAGTAACATTACCATTCATTTAACACACTGAAATTGATAGAGGTATGTGGAGAACGAATACTAAAACGTGCAACCTTCTTAACAATTTAACCATTCATTTAACACACTGAAATTGATAGAGGTATCCTGGTCTATGACATGAAATTTTTATAAATTATAAGAGCAGCACTCTATTTGCATAATCTGTACATCACAACAGATACATACATTTCTCTACGTCAAGATCAACAATTTAGAACAAGAACTCAAGAAGATAAGAACATCTAATGGGTACCTTGAAACAGCCACCACAACTCCCGCAGCCACAAGCAAGCAACCAAAAATCTGCTTAAGCAAAAACCTCTTCCCCAAAATAAGAACAGCTAAAACCAGCTGCCACACCAGAAACGTCTGCCAAACATTGTGGAGTTAAGATTATAATACCATACACAGAAAGTAACTCAACACGCCCCAATGAGAACTAAACCAAAACAAAACCTGATTCAAAACCGGTATAACTGGTCCAGGAAGCATAGCTGAAACATACAATCCAACCACTCCATACATAAACGTTACGAAAACAAAATGTACAAAGCTCCTATCTTGTCAAAAATCACTATACCTGCTGCAGCCATGCCAGTGGCAACTCCAAGAGCTTCAAGAAAACCAATGATAGCAAATCTCCATTTAGGCACACTCAACATCTCCTCAGTCACAATGCCAAGACGGCACCTCGAGTACAAAATCGTGAAGTAAATCAACACGTAACTGCCAAAAAACATTCAGTGAATTAATACTATAAGCTTAAGCTTCCTTCACTTCCTAAGTTTTCTGTAACTGCCACTATTCGTTTACCCGAAAGTGATGAACTGAGCTAAGAAGAAAGGGTACGGCTTCATGGGAACTAATGCGAGTTTGTAGAGCACGCGATTCGCTACAGCTAAGGCTACGACGATGATGGAGTTTATCACTATAAGATTCCGATTGGAAGGAGAGTAAGATTCCTCCGTTGAAGCTTTGACGGAAAACAAGCCACGTGTCGTCGGAGAAGTGGTTCTCCGAGTAACTGGGAAGTGGGACTGTCTCACGGAGTTGTTCATGGTCGCCGATCGAAAATGTGCGTGACTGAAAGAGAGCTGGTGTATCGCCGGAGAACGGAATCTGGTGGGAAGGGCGGAGGACGACGTCGACGCGTGGAGGCATCTGATTCGTGTAGCCATGAGAAGGGTATCCATTCGCGCGTCGTTCTCGGCTATTGAATAGTTTTTTTTAACCGCACGAGTTTACACGGACCCCGTTTATCACTATCAATCAATACGCAGCGTTTTCGTATTCCTTTTGTGATGTGTCTTTGTGAGATCAATCAAAAATACTACCAAAAATAATGATCATAAAATACTACCCAAAAGAAAGAGTTTGTAATGCATTTTTCCAATGTTTAAAAAAATTGTTAGACGCTTTATATGAAATTATTGTTTAGATAACCACCTAGAACCGAATTTTTAGAACACTGATTTTTTTTTTTTTAAACGGTATAGTTAATTACTTTCCAACAACTCAATCTATACTATTAAAAGAGAAGGAGTCTAAATAAATCTACTTAAAAAAGTTGTTTGGACCCATTAGACTAACATTTTTAGTCTTTCCTTATATTTCTCTAACTATATAAATATTTTACAATTTAAATAAACTCATTTATTACTTTCCATAATCTATTATAAAATTTCTCTAACAATAAATATTCATGATATTATAACTATGACACTTTAGTTTAGTAATTATATGCAATCAATTATTAAATTTTGATATTACATTCTTATAAAAGAACTAAATGATTAATTTTATGATATATAAAAATTAAATGGGTCTAGACATTATAAGTTGGAGATTCAAACAAAATTGGTCAAAAATTAATTTAAAGAAGATATGTTTATTTATTTTACATGATATATTTTGATTTAATTTTAAATGTAAACTAACCTACTATTTAAATATCAGATAGGTTGAATATTTTTGATAAAAATATTCAGGTAATTCATTGATTTGTCTAATTTGGTTAAAAATAGTATTTTAGGTTATTTAGTGTTTAGATATTNTTAAAGAAGATATGTTTATTTATTTTACATGATATATTTTGATTTAATTTTAAATGTAAACTAACCTACTATTTAAATATCAGATAGGTTGAATATTTTTGATAAAAATATTCAGGTAATTCATTGATTTGTCTAATTTGGTTAAAAATAGTATTTTAGGTTATTTAGTGTTTAGATATTATATATAATTAATATTTTTTAGGTATATAATTTATATAAAAAATATTTAAATACCTATTTGGTTTCTCAGTTTGATTTCTATTTTTAGATTCTAGAGATATATGGTATGATCGATTATTTATGAAATTTGGTTTAATTTAATTTCGTTTATTTTTTTTAATTTAAAAAATTAAGTACCCATTTGTGCATAATCAAAAAATAGAATCTACGCTTCTCAATGGGTTAATAACAATCTTTTGATTTTAAGATCTTTTTACCATATTCATTTTTTTAATTTTACAAGACTGAAATAAAATAATAGAACAACAAACCTCTCATTTTATAAATATAAGGTATCTCGAACCCCTTTTACCATCAACTCAATCAAATTTAAAAACACCATCAAAACCAATCAAAATATCTATTCCGAAATATTTGGCTTTACGGTTAACAAAAAAAAACCCGCGCTTCTTAAGCGCGGGTCAAAATCTAGTTCTTAAATTATTAGTTTTGGACTAACCCAAAATATAAATGCATTTTGATGATATAATAACAAATCTAATTCTTTACACTTCTCAAATATACACGAATATAATATGTTACACAATTGTTTAGGTATTGACTTCCTTGACTTGCAAGTGCATTTCCTTGGGTTTTCTTGTTTCATTGGCAAAACAATACAGCTTGATATTATTTGATTACAAACTAAAACTTTTTCATATGGTGTACGTTCCATATAATAAGTGTAAGTATTCTAGCTTAGAAAGAGCTTAGAGTTGAGGTCTAGCTTGGACGACGTAAATAACGCCACCTTTGACGACACCTTCAATGTCCTGAGGACAGCCATAGAGTGTCTCAATGACATGTCCAGCTTCTGCAATGGCCGAGAAGAGACGCACTTGAAAGGCTTTGTCCACTACTAAAGGCTCCCTTGAGTAATCCACCACTACTTCCTCCGCTTCATCCATTATCACACTGCACTCATAACAACAGTTTCAGCTTCTTGAGCTTAAAAAAGACAAACACAGAGGGAACACACAAGCGAACCTGTCGTAAAGTCCAGCCCCTGCGCAGCCCTCAAGATCCTCGTTGTTTGAATCTGATCGGAATATGACTGAGGGTTTAGAGTACAGACCTATCCTCTTACTTGGATAACTTATCACCTGCAAAGTCCAAAAAATCTATCAGTTTTATATAATCCGAGTTAACAGGTAAATACTATTTGTTTCTTGTTTCTCACGGTTGGTGACTTGAGGTTTGTTTTCTTGGTGATGAAGCTCATTGCTCGTCCTGGATATCCTCCAACCAATGTCTCTCCCAAACCTTTCACAATCTGAGAAACACAAGTTCTTGAGTATTAGATTATTTACACAAGAAAACCACAGAAAACAAAGCTAAAATGTTATTTTTACCTCAGTATATATTTCTGAAGGATCACCAGAGACGGGATTGTTTGTGTGAATGACGAAAGCATAATCACCACATATGACTTCTTGAACAAGGACCGCCATGCAGACAGTATCATGATCAACTCTTGTTTTCTTGCAACTCACGTAAGCTCTCTCGTTCCACTTTGAAGCCCAGACCTATATGTTTGGTGTTCACAAGATCATTGAAGAACTTGTTTCCTTTCAAAAAAAGATTGTTATTACCTTCTTAATTGCCATCCATGATCGGTTCCAGCTTGATTCATCTCCATGATACGACATTCTTTCACTTCTCAGTTTGTGAACCAGTTCATTTCTCTACCAATGAGTTCAAAAACCAAACATGTGATGCATAAAGAAAGCATGAACAGAGGGATGGCAAGAAAAAACAATTACATATGGTCAGTTATTACCAGAGCCATTGGTGCGCTCATTTGTAAAACAGCTTCTTGAATCGCTTTGAGCTTTGACATGTCTCCCCTGCTAAGATAAACTTTAAGGGCAGAGATCTTGCGTGCCACATCCTGAAAAGCAATGGATCCACCAAATAATATATATAAGAAACTCAAAGAGGATGAGTTGTATCTTTGAGCATATAATATGTTTTTTTTTAAACTATACCTTATTGGAATCATCTGAAAGTACACACTCAAATGTTCCAAAGGGAAGTGCGAAAGAGGTAGGTATCTTGATCCATGATGGAACTCTTTCTCGTAGAAATTTGATGTTGCATGATTTTGAACCAACCTAAGAATCTCAGTGAAATGAAAACTCAAATAATATATACTCTCAAAAAATGATATTGTCATAAACATGATTTGGACTTTACCATTTCACAAGTGAAGTCCTTAGATGATATTACATAGTTGTTACAAAACTTCTTCCTCTTTGAGATCACTCCCCATGAAACAGAAGAGATATAGATATGACGAACATGGTCATCCGAGTTGTTGCCATCACTGCAAAAGTGATACAACTTCGAGGTATAATAAAACCACAATTGTCTTAAGTCTTAACATAAAGAACAGTGACAACATATTACCTGATAACTAAACCAGTAGAATTTGTATGAATAGATATTGCTCTCCCTTCCTTTGACTTCAGATTCCTGAGAACATTCTGATCGAAGCATGTAGCAAAACATATCTGCATCAGACCAAAACTTAGGATAAGAATCTGACATTTAATTTGATCCCCAATAAAATGTAGGTTTATAATTCGTCTTGATGATATAATATATTGTAAGCAGACAATAGTACATGCCTTGCTGTTTCTTGCTCTAATAGAGACATGAGACAAGACATCAATCATGCTAGGAGTCAGCACAGCAACAACACCATCAGGGATCTCCTCTTCTCCTGTCACTTTACTTGCAATAATTACAGTTGGCTTTGAGTAGACTTTACTCTGAACTGTGATTAGTGCATTCACACAAACCAAAACCCCATATGCATCAGCCGAGCTGATAACCTGCCAACTGCTCATAAAGGGTTCAGTAATCTGATCTATACTCTGTTTTTTAGCTCAAAACTCACATTAAAACTTTTCTTACCAGCCTAAGTTTGCGATTTTCCTGAGACAAGGATCAAATCTGTTAACAAGAGTTGATAGAACAGCTCCTGGTCCTGATCTTATAACCTCTTCAGTGAAAACATCAATCTGTAAAATAAAAAGAAAAATCAATTGAAACATTTTAAGTGTCAAACTAAATAAGAAGCACAAGTTTAGTTTCAAAGTACCCCATGCTTGTCAACTCGTAACATCTGACCAAGATAATTTGCACTAGGCTGTATTAATCTAAAGTAATGCTGGCATCTATCAGCAAGTACTAGTTGCAAACGGTCAAGGACCGCTTTTGTTTGCAATGCCCACTCAACATCATGAGCTTTGTAAGTCTCACTGACACGGTACCAATCCTGAAACGCGAAGAATGTGCAATATAAGAATACTGAGAGTCAAACTTACGTATAAAATATGCAACAAACATGCCTTTGTACAGCAGATAACTTCTTCATTGTTGAATGTAGATAAGCAAAGATTCTCAAGCGCCACGCTGATAACAAATACAACTTCCTGTTTCTCAAGCAGTGAAAAAGGCAGATCAATCCATATCCCCACTCTTCAGTCTAAAGACTAATGTTTTCAAACTACAGAGAGAAAAATATACCGGCGGGTTACTGAAGTTTAAAGAGATGAGTCTCTTCTCTAATGTTGTTTTAACACACGACTCCAATGCGATGTCTAAGAATAGTAAGTCTTTTGCTCTTGTACGAGGGGCTCTTAATGCAGGGTGAAGCTCAATACGAGCATCAACTAACTTCTGCAGAAGTAAATTTTTTTTAAAAAAATCAAGCATAAGCTTATATGGTCCAAGGCTAAGCTATAGAAAGAAGATGTGCTATTCCAACCTCTATTAATGGCGCAGCGTTCTCTTCGTGAACAAGCCTCTTCACTGAACTTAGAAGATCCTACCAAACAACAAAAATGTCATTGAATCATTCTTATGTCTTTGTAGTGTATAACACAGTGAACTGAAAACTATCTGTATTGATAAGATAGTATGAAGAAGTTTGCCTGCAACTTCGGTGATAAACCATTGAGAGCAAATACATTATGACCCTGAAAAAGAAAATGGAACAATGAGCTCTTAACAAAGCGCGATACATGTCCCAGAACATTAAAGCGACATGAATTGGTTACCTTGGATGGAGAAAGAAACGTATCAATAGCAGACTCAAGGTCTGCACCTGAATGAACTGCCTACAAAGGCAGATAAAAACAGATTAAATGGAGGCTCATATCCACAACAGGGTTAGTCATACGCTGATTAAACGTTGTAGTTTTCTCCTCAAGCTTCTATGGGTCAGGAAAAGAAAGAAGACTGCAAGTTAAAATAGAGATGGGATTGTTATAAATACCTTGAGTGTTTTCAAGTACATTGTAAGGTCACGGATGAGTCCTTCTTTAGCATCACTTCTGAAACGAGGCTCTGATAAAATGGGGCGGTCATAACTTGCAAGCCTTTCTTTAGTAAGACCATTGGCCTTTAGTGTTTGCCAGTAGGCATCGATTCTAAAGTCAGATCTCACATAGTTTAAGAGAGCCTGTGGCAGAAGAATACAAAAGAACTCATCAGAAACTCTCCAGGTATATAATCTCATAAAAAATGGCTGATATCTACAACAAAAAGGAACTAAAGTAGAGATAGTAATGAGTACCTCGCAAATTATCACATCATCTGGACTACTGTTGTTGTGCAACTTTTGGTGCCATTCTTCCATCATGCCGGATTTGCAGTGATTATTTCTCTAACCAAAGATATACAAATACAATTATTAGTACAGATGATCTACCTATAACAAGATCAGTAATAAGGTTTAGCTTCATAAGTATGTGGAAGCATATACCTGAATAACAAGGATTTCATCACGGATTCTCTGACCAACATCACCTTGACCTCCACGACCCACAAGTGCCATAGTAAGTCTCACAATTTCTCTCTTATATGGTTGCTGCAGATATATATTCTCCATCAGATTGGTGAATCTTTCTAGTGCTTCACTAATTTCCCTGCATAAAACAACAGTCAAGGCATAAGAAGCTCTAGTAATCAAGTAAAAAAAGAGTCATATTAGAGTGGCTAATGAAACTCTACCGAGGTTTCACGTTGTAGTTCTTGTTCCAGGTGAGATGTCTAGTGGCCATGAATTTCATCCACACCATTATACCGATACATCCACCTTCTCCTTCATCCTTACAACGCTCAGTCAACTCTGTTGCGATGTTGAACCTGCCAAGCTATGCTTATAAGTAACTTCACTAACATTATTAAGAAGGAGACTTCGGTTACATAGAAACATTCACTTAACCTTCAACATATTTTGACTTACCTGTGCATTAATGATCTCTCAGCCTCTTTCTCTCTAACAGATATTTCATCAAGCAGCCATTTGAGAATATACTTTCCATCCACTGCACTCTGAGGAAGACAAACATGTTTAAAAGTGAAATATGTTGATACAGAACATCCCAACATTTATCATGACACTGATGACTAAAAGCACTGAACTCACTTTGCCACTGGTACTGTCTGATGATTTCAGGTTTACAGAGAAGTTAGCTCCATTATTGTTTACCCAGTGGATTCCAGACCATATCACAAATTGGATACCAACAAAACCGCTTCTTTTGAAATTTATTTCAATAATCTTGTCCAATGCAAAGAAAGATGAAACGTGTTAATAGATTAAAGATATCTTAGGATAGAAGTAACATAAGCTTTTACCTGATAAGAGTGTTCTCTACTAGACATATCGGTAAAATATGTTTGACATGCTCCATGAACAATTTTTGACTTCTCAGGCAACACATCAGGTGGTGGAGTCTGTATAGAGTTGTGAAAATGAGTCTCTTATTTGAAAATATTTGTGATAAGTAAAATCTATTCAGATAGCAAGAAAATCTCACCAACCACTCTCCTGCAGAAGACTTAGCGACTCCCCAGTGAAGTACTGTTGGACCTGCCATGTTTGTGGCAACATATAAGCGACAATCTCCCATGACATTCTTCTGGAGGACCTAATAATCAAAACACACATAAACCATTAATAATCTAGAAGTCACTGAAAGCTACCAGTACTGAAAAAGACTGTGTGGATTGATTGTATTGCAAACCGCTATTTCGTAATTTCTGACATGGAAGCTTTTCTGTGAAACTACATTTTCTTGGCCTACAGATCTCTTCAAGAGATCTGCAAGGGCTGAACTGTTCACACTTGCATTTTTAGTGATTGGTTCCGCATACTTCTGTAACCATTTCTGAACATCATGCTTCCGGCGATGTGATGGCTGATGCAAGTTCATTGTTTGTTTTGCCTCACTGATAACTGCTTTCTCAACTGGTATTGAAGAGTTAGCCTGAAGATCGTCTATAGATATTCCCCTAGCGAGGTCGGCTTGGAGCTCTCTTATGGCATTTTCATAGTCCATCTAAAACAAAACACATGCAAGAAAACACAAAGATAAGTAATAAGCAGATCAGTGGTGGATACTAGATGGGGCCAGTTTCACCTGTTGTTCACGTACAGAGTTTTGAGGTCGGCCTCTCCGGTCCCATATGGTATATGCTCTTCTTTCTATCAGATGCTTCGGTATTCGATGATGAGCGTGTAGTTCGTTCCAAGGAATCTCAACACGGAAGTTTCCAGTATTCTGTTTCAACCTGAAAATTACCATTAGGAGTCATTCAAGTTCCATGTTCATCCCTCACAAGCATGACTCAAGATAAAGGAAAGAAAGAAAAGCACGTACCATCTGTTACGGTTACCATCTTTTAAAACAAATTCAACTGCACGTACTTTTGGATCACGCAGCTCAAGGATCACTACATAATCATTCCCACTCTGCAATTGTGTAGTGAACACTTTTCAGGAAATCTTAGAACCTTATGGATAAAAATAGAAACAAGAGGGTTATGCTGAGACCTTCACGAAGGGAGTCTGCAATGCACCTTGCTTCGTGGAATGTTCTGATGGGACAAACCAGTTGCTACAGATAAACAGAAGTAATTAAAAAAAACATGGAGATATCTGAAGTGTTATGTCTTTTTATCTTTAAATATCATCATCATCACTCACTTATTTCCTTGGTAAATACAACCCCAATGAAGAATCCATGTGCGAGTGCAGTTCTTGAGGTGAAACTCAGCTCTTACACTATTCCCATTTGGCAACCCAGTGACAATGGTCTGAATGAATACGAAGATTAAGTCCAAAATATGACGTTGTGAGTTCCAGTAGGAGAGAGAGAGAGAGAGGAAAGAACAGACCTGAAGCTCCATTCCCTCGATTAGCTGGAAACTATGGGACTTAGAGGTTGCCATGGCAGCTTTGATCTTTCATTAAAAAAAAGGTAACAAGTGAACCTCAACAACATGGAAAAAATAACTTATGAATAATCTCAAATAGTAATGAAACATTGAAGTTCGAGTTGATCGACTATTCATCTTGAAAACAGCTTCAGAGTAAAGCAAAATAAACAGTCCAGCCAGTTTCTTCCTTATGTATTGTGTACCTTTTCTTTAACGTTGGCCTCTCTTCACGAAGTTGAGTTGTTTTTACGCTTTAAACGCTTCACAAAATCTCCAGAAGCTCCTCAAGAAATAGACAACCTAGTTTCCCGCATCATTAGATCATATTTTGTAAACAGTATCAGATTACAACATAAGGGAGAGTTTGAGAGAAGCAATGCTCCTTTTATAAACCAAGGGATCTAATTCACTCGGCACTAACACGACCATACAAAGATGCCAAAAATGCCGTGTGGAGACAAAAACAAAAGTGACATTAACCGATATGCTTCAAAGTTGTGGAATCACTGAAAGAAAACCACAGGAATCTTATTCTCTTCTGCTTTGGTGAAAACATCTGTAAAGGTAAAAATGACATGTGCAACTCAGCTCCCAAACACTAAAAAAAAAAAAAAACAATCAGCTCCACGCCATATAAAGTATGTTGAGATTTGGAAGTCAAGAGTAATCTCAACTCAAGATGAATCTTAAGAACTTTCTCTTAGCAACATATATGTCTTTGGGCCGAGAATTTACATATAAGTAGGTTAAATTGATGGCTGCAAATGGAGCTCAACAACATATAACAAGTGCTGAGTTTACAAAGTGAAAAACAAAACTCAAAAAAATCTATTACAAAGGACGTGTGCGTGGATATTATCTGCAGTAGGAGAATTTATATGTCACTGTGTGAGCAGCTTAGAGTCACATGCGACTATCTTCACTCGACTCACATTCTCTTGACGGTCGTCATTCTTGAACATGGCGTCCTGTAATATGAATGTCCAGACGTTGTCACAGAACCTGTAAGTGTGCAGGTGCCCCTGCACAAGAAATAAAATAAAGAAGAAGCGAGAGATTAAATATCTGGTTGTTTCTTTCATCTGCCAAAGCTTTCTCTTAAATCTTGAATGCCGCGTTTAACAATTGGCTATGAAAATAGTGTTCGCAGTGGTTAATATGACGAAAGAGAATTAATGTCAACTAGTAGGGACACTAGCACAAGAACTTGTGATTAATCTGACACAAACCTAAAGAGTCTTGAAGTAACAGAAGTAAGCTCCTGCTTATAAGAGCCAGATAACTGAATCCATACATCTTAATCTCAAGTTGAACTTCTTGCTCTGATAAATCATACATGTGCTAGCTTCAATCTTAGAATTTATATGACATCTAAAAATTGGTAGAATTCATGACAATTTCAGTTATTTCCTGAGATAACCAATGATGTGTGTAAGGCTGTGAGCACCTAATTATCAGGCAACAAGTTGCCACCGAAAGAAACTTAACACTTGACATAAAGTATGAGCCTTTTAGAGGTATCAGAAACTACTCTCAACAGAAACGAATAACTGAACCTGAATGTTAAAGAAACCCTAAACTCCCTACTCTAAAACATTGTTCCATGAAATATGAATAATATTGCATCAGGTCCAAACAGCAAAACCAAAAACATACAACCTAAAGCAAGAACTATCTATGAATCGTCTTTCCTACAAGTAAGAGAATTTAACAGAGATACAAGGAAGTCACGAACAGAAACACTGCATCTTCTCTTCTACTCAACAACGTAAACTAAGATTCAGCATTTCACAAGAAATGATTAAAAGTGCAGGAGCTCACCTTAATCGACACCTTGGTCTTCACTTGGCTCTCAAGAGCTTCAGTCATGGACTACAACAACGACACATAATTATATATCAGAAAACAAAATCCCACCAAAATGCTCCAAGAACAACAGTCAAACAAACACAACAAGTTGGAAAAAAAACGAAACCTTGTCAAACTGAACGAGAACTTGGATAGCAAGCTCAGGGCTCAGCGTACCGCTCTGAACCATCTCATCCAAAGTCTCCGTCAAACACATCCCTATCGTCGATCTCCTGTACAGCTCAAACGTCGCCATTCCCCCCAACGATCTGATCAAATCCGATAAAAAAAACTCTCAACTCTTCAAATCGAATTTCGCAGCTAAGTTAAAACAAATCGAAATCAAAGAGGTTAAAGACCTCAGGAAGAGAGGGAGAGAGATAGTTTACCGATCTGATCTCCGGAGACAACGTAAGGAGAGATGTTGACAGTGAATGCAGAGGAGCTACCGTTGGTCGATTGCGAATGAGTTTTTGTCTCTTGAGCGGAAGAAATAATTTGGGGCTTTTTATACCCTAGCATTTGCAGGCGAATGTATATATAGGCAGCGATCGATCAGACACGATAATTGACGGGTTTACCCTTTCTGTTGTAATAAAGTGAAATCTGTAGAATATTATTAGAGTATTTGCACTCTATACACACACAAAACCCTCTATTTAGCTGTATACCCTATTTATCTCTTCTCTCTCCTTCCCCCCTCACAACTTTTCCCCCCTAAAATATGACAAATCCCTAAATATCATATTTTTTTGGTATTTTGACCAAATTCACTCATATTATTATATATGGCCTAACATTCCAATATAAAGCCCATTAGTGCTTTTTTTTTTTAATTAGTAAACCTCGTTTTGGTTCGGATGTATATTTAATCTTCAGGTCGTCGGTCCGCATTCGGGTTCAATTTTGTGAATTTTTTCACATTTTAGATCAATTTCAGATTTTTTAATCCAAATTAAAAATTAAATACCACATACTGTAATTCGCATAATTTTTTTTTAAAAACTTATTATATAAAGTTTGTTCTTCAACATTACTAATTAACATGAATACGACACATGTTAGTTATATATTTTAGATTGGGACATGTGTCAAAAAAATTTCATAATTAAAAATTAATTATAATTACTATTTAATAGTAATTTTTTTATTTTAAAATCATAAACAGAAGATAATTGCAAACATTTATCCTATAGTAATTTTATTTTGGTATTGTGACATTTGTTGAAATATCCGACGATTAAAATAATATAGTAAGATAATAAAACGAATTTTTAAAATTATTCAATAGTAAAAAGGTAATTTTAAATTTAGTTGATAGTATTTTCTTAGAAAAAAATCCTTTAAAAAATCCTTTAAAAAATCCTTTTAAAAATCCTATTCAAGAAAATTATTTAAAATCTTAAAATATAAAGCTTGGTTCTTCAAAGTTAATAATTAACACGATTCCAATACATGTCAGTTATATATTTAAGATTATGATATGTGTCAAACTATTTCATAATTAAAAAAGTAACTATAAATACAATTTAATAGTAATTTTCCATTTTAAAATCTTAAACATAACATAATTGCAAAAATATATTTTACAGTAATTTTACTTTGGTATTGTGACATGTGTTGAAATCTCTAACGATTAAAAATATATAGTAAGATAATAAAAACGAATTTTAAAATTCAATAATAAAAAGGTAATTTTAAAATTATTTGATAGTATTTTCTAGAAATTTTCCTTTTAAAAATCCTATTCAAGAAAATAATTTAAAATCACTTATTTAAGACTAATTTTATTCTTATAAACCTAATGAAAAAATAATTATAAAAGATTATTTGATAGTAATTTCCTTTGAAAATATTGATATATTTTAAAATATCTCAGGATCAATAAAAAATAAGATCAGATAAGAAAAATCATTTTTTTCTAAAAGTGATTTTAAAAATTATTTAATAGTAATTTTTCTAGACATTTTTATTTTTAAAATTATTTGATAATAATTTCACTTTTTTTTTATTTTGACATATGTTGAAATATCCGATGATTAAAAATATATAAAAGATCATAAAAATGAATTTTTTGAAAACTTATTTAATAGTTCAAAAGTAATTTCAAAACTTTTTTTGTTGGCAACACAACACCACATATTCAATTGGATCTTTGAACCAAATCGGTAATTATGCATCCATGTGAATACAAAAGACGGTTACTTCCTGACACAACGTGCTAGATTATCCGTTTTCATATTTTGTGTTTGTGGTACATGAATGATCACTGAGTTGATGAAGCTAATCGCTTGATTAAAACGAAGAGAAAATAGTTGGTCCAAGTACCAGCCACACAATTAAACTTCAAAAAATTCATTATATCAGCACTGTTGTCAGCGCAATCCAATCACCGGATTCCAGTGATAGTTATCACGGAACATTGCTGCATCGTAACGGTGGTGCTGGACCAAACTTGCCATGGCTCATCTCGAACGCCTCATGGTGATTGTAAATCGTTAGCATATGCGCTTGTGTGAGCCAATGATGCCTAGAGTAATGCAGTATCGCTTGAATTTCTTGGTCATGATCTTCATTGTCTTGGAGATTGAATGCATTCACCACAGGCGCCGCCATAGTGAATCTTGTGATAGCTTGGTTTTCTTCTCTTTTTTTTTGATCGAACGTTTGCTTTGTATTTAATATATATTAGATCATGATCTACGCTCGCGGTTTTTTTTTTTTGCTGAAACAAATTATATATGTATTCTATATTGTTTAGTTTTATATAGTTTTGAGTTTGTTTATACTTATTTTATTATTTTATGTGACTAAGCAACATGACTAAAATTAGATTTTGTATTAATTATTTTCCTAAGTGTATTGTAGATATACGTGCGGTCAAAAAAACATTAAATCGGTTATCTAAATCCAAACTAGTAAAGATCTAAAATGAACCCGAACCAAAATTTATAAATATTCGAATGAGGATAAAATTTTTAATCTCAAAGTTTTGAAACCTAAATAGATTCGAAACAAATTCGGATGATTCTCGAATACCCTTAAAGTTTTTCGTACACTGAATATGGACAATAAAAGTGTAGAATTTGGTCAATTTCATAGTATTGGAATAACATTGGTTAATAGTAGTGATAGTATAAAATAAAAGTAATAATAGATGTAGGTTAACAATTGTCTACAAACAATTGAAAAAAAATGAAAAATTTGAATTGTAGCAGCGAATAAGGTGAATGTAGACCGATAGTCCAGAAATTTATATACATCCAGAGATAATCTCCCATTTACTGCATTTTAGCCACATTTCTCAAAAAAAAAAATTTGGTTTTAGAATCTTTAGATGTCTCATTGTGGACAAATAACTACTAGATATTTCATTTATGGAGACATGGATTGTACCTTTACTTATCTACTTAGATAAAACATAACCTTTACTTATCTACCAATTCCATTCAACTAGTTTATAAATGTTTAATATTCTGTATGTTTCACAAAGCGAATTATTTTGATTTTTTTTTCTTTCTATACTGCAAATAGTGTTATTTTAGAGTTTCAAGGTAATTTATGTTTAGTTCAACTTAATTTTAATTTTAATTACAAGATTTGATTTCACCATGGCAAACCCAAATATGACGGATTTGATGGTTCGGCCCACGTCGTCTTTTCACGTGTGTCATCTCCTATTTTCCTGTAATCATTTTAAACAGATGTTTTAAGAGAACCAACCATGTCCTCGCTTTTTTTTTTTTACTCGTTTAAAGTATGTGTCAAATGGTTCAAAATGTAGCAGTACCTAGTAACGTGTGCAAAGAACCAATCCTTTTTGTAATCACTGACGCCAATGGTGAACACCAGTCACCAAGTCTTCCTTACGGTATAGCTCTGTGTATATTTCCCATAGCCCGTATTGCTTAAACCTTCATAAGTGTAACCATTATTACTTAAGTTCAACTTTTTGTTAGTGTTGTTTTGTACATTGCATGATGCATTCTTTTTTTTTGTAACATGAACCTATAAGTTTACTATGTTTTTATTGGTTTTATATTTTTATGTTTTATAGAATTATTATGTGCTTTTCGATATAATTTAACTAAATATTATCAAAATATATTGAAATATTAAAAAATAAAAAGAAATTATTTTTACTCTATAAATAAAGTCAATAATATAATGTTAGATTGTACTTACATAAAATTATATATAGGTAGATTATTAATTTATGATTTTAATGAGACTAGATATTTACATGACAGTTTTAAAAATATGGTTATCTTATTATTTTATTTGTGCCATATTTTACATCGGTTTAAGTTGGGACAAGTGAAATTTATTAATTTATAGAGATTATTAGTTTATCGAATATTAATTAATTTATAGAGGTTCTATGTGTTAAATGAAAAGAATCTGAGAGAAGAAAGACGAAAAAGAACATTGAATTTGGCGTAGTCATACCGTCTTTAAGTTCATTCTCATCCTCATCATATGTCTCTCCCTACCTCCCTTCTTCTTCTTCGAACACATCCTACTCTCTCCGATCAGTTGTTTACTTTCTCTCTGCAGCTTCTCGTATTACTCTAGCTTTCTCTCCTATTGTAAAATGTTGATATTATTTTTTTGTATTTGAATTTCCATCTCTTAGATCTTGATTTCTCATTGTCTCAGTCTTTAATTCGAAAATTGCCCGTTTGCTGTTTGTTTCTCTATTGCAAAAACTTCACTCGAGAATGAGTCAGGAAAACAGCAGAGCTAAACCAAACCATAAGAAAAATACAGAGGCGTCTGCACCAAATTAGGAATGTCTATGAAATAGTGAAGCTACAAACACCGATCTTACACTCTAGAATGATCAAAACATTAGACAAAAAAGAGAGGCACTCACACACATCTGCAGAGGTAAGAATGAGAGGACAAATTGGTCTAAGGAAGATGCTGTGAAACGAAGTCGAACATGACAAAACATAAACAAAGATGAAAAACAAACTTAAATAAATATATTGAGTAATATTGTGTACTAGTCTTTCTTTAACCAAGGAAGATGAGGAATTAAAATAAGCAAGAAACAGATAAATGAATAGGTGGACTAATTAAGTTGCACTAAGCTTGGAACATATGAGCAAACAAGTGCAGTAAGAACAGTGTCTGCACATTCTCTAACATCTGCTGCTTTGAAGGATCCATCAACTCCAATGATGTAAGCTACTTCGCGAGTGGGGTTTTGTATATCTGTATCTTTATCAAAAACCACGGCGATCTTCTTCTCCTCGTTGATGAAGAAACTCGCAGATCCCGGAAACTGCCACTGAGGGTGAATGAGCTGTCTAATATCCGCCGATAAGAACACCTTGTTGTTCCAAGACACGGCGTTAGGCTCATCAATCTTAGTGGAAATCCAGATCTCCAAGGTCAATAGATCCCAGGGCTGGAATAAAACCACAAGGTGATCTTCTCTAACACTAGATAGACTCACAGTATCGTCAATATAATAAGCATTCTCGAAC